GGAAGGGAGTTCCAGAGTGTGGGAGTTGGGTCATATTACTAGACTGAAGCATAGGGCCCCATCAATGGATCAGGATCAGCTGTAGTGGGGTGAAAGACTGAAGTGTCAGAGTAGGCCTGAAATACCTGAAAGCCTAGGGGCTCAGCCATAGGTTAATACGGCCCTGTCTGGGAGCAGTGATAGAGAAGGCCCTCTTCTTTGTGCGATAGCATTCTGTTGCCAAATAAATCATGATGCTTGAAGCACTTCCTTGGGCAGCTCTTGTTGGGGCCACTCTGGTACACCTCTAGCCAGGTGTCTCCCTTTTCCTCTTCTTATTAGAGGAATCTTTCCTTTGGTTTGATTTCCTTTAGTTAGCAAAGTATAAAATATACTGTAAAATGAACTGCTGCAACACAGGGGAAATGTGAAGGAGTATAGCTCTGCATTACAGCCCACTGGCTATTAGTATGGTGTGGGCATACATTGAAAACAAACCATGAATCACAGTACATTATAGAGACGAAAAAGAAAAGAAAAAAGTGCAACAGGAAGAGGAAGGCAAGCACTGGATCAGCAACTGTATCCCTGGTTGATTGATGGCCTTTTGGTCCACTGTCCTGACATTCTGCATCGGAAGACAGAGATTGCAACTTCTCAATGACTACAGTCCCATGGCCAATTGCAGAGGCCAGGTTGTACTTCTTTTCACAGTGCAACTTTATAAGACATAAATTTATTAGTGGATGGTGTTTTTAAAAACTTTATCATCAGCTTGCTTGCATAAGATTCTACAGACCACTTCCACCATGTTTATATTGACAACCATTTCAGGAGTCTGCAGAAGTTGTTGATATAAAAATTAGGGCTATTCCATCAGCCTTGATGATAGGCTACTTACTTTCTCCCTCTTCCCTATTCTTCCTCTTTCCGTTTTGTGTTATGGTTTAGAATGCAGAACATTCAGTTGTTATTGACTGTGCATTACCTGCTCAGGGAAGCTTTTTGTTTAAGGAGTGATAAAACTCCAATGTGCAATAAGTCAAGTCTCATATGTAGCCAGCAATGATAGGAGTTTAAGGACAATGAACATCCTGAAGTTTCTATAGTGCTCAATGTATTATCTTGAAATCATCATTTATATGAAATTTGGCTGTAGTTCTAGGCACACCTTGGAAAGAAGTCCCATTCAATGAAGCTGGGCTTCCTTCTGGATGAACCGGAATGGGTTTGGGCAGCGCATGTTGTCCACTTGAATGTTTTCCTTTATTGTGACCTAATATGGGCTATCATGGATTGCTGCCTTGTCGTGGCGAAGGGGCT